AAGTGCCACGCCTGCCACGCATTGCGAGCCCGAAACGGATAGGGCCCCCACCCCCAGCGCACCCCCTCTGGTGTCGAGGAAGTGCCACGCCTGCCACGCTTTGCGAGCCCGAAACGCATAGGGCCCCCACCCCCAGCGCACCCCCTCTGGTGTCGAGGAAGTGCCCACGCCTCCCACGCTTTGCGAGCCCGAAAACCGCATAGGGCCCCCCCCTAGCGCGCCCCCTCTGGTGTCGAGAGTGCCACGCCTGCCACGCTTTGCGAGCCTCTAAACGCATAGGGCCCCCCACGCCCAGCGCAAACCCCCTCTTTTGGCGCCGGTGTCGAGGAAGTGCCACACCTCCCACGCTTTGCGAGCCCGGAACGCATAAGGCCCCCCCCCCCAGCGCACCCCCTCTGGTGTCGAGGAAGTGCCACGCCTGCTATGCCTGGACGACCGTCGTGCATATCGGCCATATCGGGACGTGTCTCATGTGGGTGCCCACTATGTGGCGCACACGTCGTGGATGTGTGATGCAGTGAACACAGCAGGCGCGCACTAGCGTTGTATGGTGATCACGTCTGTTGTCACGCATGCCGTGCCCTGCGCCATGGCCTGCATAGAGCCTCCTGCCATCCACTCCGAATCCTACACGCACGTCTTGTATGATGCGTGTGCGGCCGTATCGGAACGTGTGTCTCACGTGGGTGCCCAGTATGTTGTGCTGTGCTGAACTGAGCTGAGCTGAGCTGTGCCGTGCCGTGCTGTGCTGCGGTGAGCTGTGCTGTGCCGTGCTGAGCTGTGCTGTGCTGAGCTGAGCTGTGCTGTGCTGTGTGCGGGGGGAGGGGAGGTGTGTGTGAGGAGACGCGGGTGCGACGCGGCAGAGAAGAAAACCAGAACCCCACGAAACATGTGGGGAAGAAAAACCATAAAGTTTGCCTCTCCTCCTAGGGTCGCTTGGGGGCCTCTTGGGGCCTCCTGAGGGCCTGTTGGGGGCGTCTTGGGGTCTCTTAGGAGAGCCCCTTACGGACTCCTGGGGCCTTCAAAAGGCCGAGAGTTCGAAATGTTGATTCGTGCCCCCCCCCCCCTGGGACCTCTCTTGGGGCGTTCTTGCGGCCTTCTTGAGCCGTCTTGGAGGCCTCTTGGGCCGTTTCGGGGCCATCTTGGGCTGTCTGGGGGCCCTCTTGGGAGCCTCTTGTGTCCTATTGGGGCGGTCTTGGGGGCGTCTTGGGCCGTCTTGGGGCTTCGGGAAGCCGAAAAAGTAGAAACGCCCAAATTTTTCCAAAACCTGACGAAAAAGCAATGAATTTTGCCTCTTGGGGCCCTGCTGGGGCCGCTTGGGGGCCTCTTCGGCCTGTTGGGGGCGTCTTGGGGTCTCTTAGGGGCCTCTTGGGGACTCCTGGGGCCTTCAAAGAGCCGAGAGCTCGAAATGTTGATTCGTGCTCCCCCCCGGGGACCTCTCTTGGGGCGTTCTTGGGGCCTTCTTGGGCAGTATTGAAGCCTCTTGGGCCGTTTCGGAGCCCTCTTGGGCCGTCTTGGAACCTTCTTGGGGGCCTCTTGGGCCCTCTTGGGGCGGTCTTGGGGACATCTTGGGCTGTCTTGAGGTGCCGGGAAGCCGAAAAGGTGGAAACGCCCTGATCTCTTCAAAACCTAGGGAACAGCAATGAATTTTGCCTCTTGGGGCCCTCTTAAGAGTGCTCTGGGAGGCGTGTTGGGCCGTTTGGGGGGCATCTTGTGCGTCTAGGAGCGATCTTGTGGCATCTCGGAGCTCTCTCGTATCATCTTGAAGGCTCTTGGCGGCCTCTTGGCCTTTCTTAGGGCTCTCTGGACGGCCTCGAGGGCGGCACCCAGGAGAAAAAAAATCTCTGACCCGCAGCGCCCGGGAACTGCCCGGGGTACTTTTCTTCCGGGGACCCCCAGGGGCCGCCCAGCGCGCTAAGTATAATTACTGTAAAGCAGCTGCCGGAGATCTTAGCACACCTCTGGCCCGTTGGGCCGGCGAATTCGTAGCGTTGATAATGGCGAGAATGGTGTTTCGGCACGCTTCAGGACCTTCAGACGGTTGTCTCCCAACGTGGCATTTCCCTCAGTGGACATGAACCATTGTAGGTGCCAATGAAAAGGAAGCATGGAGGGTGGGTTTGTTCCAACATCACTGATGAGTCTTAGATTTAGTGGTCCTCCTCGTCCTCCCCCTCCTCCTCCACCTCCTCCTCCTCCTCCTCCTCCTCCTCCTTCCCATCCGCAGGTACTCTCCACGGGCTTCTCTCGACACCTGCAAAGGCCCACCGCAGCATCAAGCAAGTCAGCAAGAGGCCGGCGGCTGTGAACCCAGCCCGATGGATGCCAAAGAGACCCCTGCTTCAGAGCATGCGCAAGACGACGGCGAGGAGGAGGCGCGCCCGAAACCACGCGGCGCGGCACATCACGGCACAGCTCTGCACAACGATACGGCGCGGCAAGGCCCGCGCCCATTGCAACCACGAGGCTCGACACGGCACAGCACGGAGCCGCACGGCACTGCACGATTGCACGGCGCGGCGCCTCACTGGACGAGCTCGCGAGCTGGCGGCACGACATGGCATGGAACGTGGACGGCACGGCACGGCACGCCAAGGCGCGGCGGCATGACCGCGGAGGACCGCACGGCACGCCAAGCCACGCCACGGCGCGGCGGCATGAACGCACGCGCGGCACGGCACGGCGCGGCATGGCAACACGGCACGGCATGACCGCGGAAAACGAGCTCGCACACCGACGGCGCGGCTCGGCGCGGCACGCCACGGCAGGCGGAGTCGGCGCGGCACAGGGAGAGCGGACCCACGGATGACGGCACGGCGCGGCACGCAGGGCACGACGGCACTGCACCGGCGCGGGACGGCCACGACCACAGGGCGACGAAGTCGGTGCATATCCGCTGACTGCTCCCTGGCCAGGCCCATCCTGAGCCTAATTAGCAGCTATACGCCACGCCCTGCTGGCTTGGCCAGGAGGGCGTCTACACAGCTCCGGGGCCCAGGAGGTGCCCGGCCAGGGAGCACTGGATATGTGTAGCTTTGATCGCCCGAAGCCACGGCGCGGCTCGTGAAAAACGGGGCCTGGAGCTAGCAAGCGCTGGCTCCTGTTTGTGCAGAACTCTTACGGCATGTGCTGTTTGGGGAGCATGTGTGGCACAGCCTGCAGTTGCCGACTACCTACCAGACAACCCCAACCCAACCCGAAGACCCGACTTTCGAATTGGGGAGGGTACGGGTTTCAAGTGTTTTTTTCCATATGCCCCCGACCCCCCCACTGAGAATGAAGGACAAATTTAAACCCTCGGGTTGGGTTGCGGTGGTTTGGTGGGTGGTGAGGTACAGTCGCAGCCACGCAGGACATCGAGACAATAATCGGAACACGTGCTAGGCTCAGCCACAAGCAGCAAAACTGCACACACTTTTTTGCGTCGGCGGCTGGGCAGAGGTTGCTGCTCCGGCGATCGGGCATCAGTGGGGCGCGCTAGATGCAAATTGGGCCGCAGTGCGCGTGAGGAGAAGAGGAAACACTGGCGCAACGGGAAAAGAGGAAGCCGGGCCCGCTCAGGCAAGTCCCGGCTGTGGCGGGGCGGACGCCAGGGGGGGAAGCCAGCCGCGGCGCCCGGCAGCAGCTGGGGGGGGGGGGGGGGAGGCAGCCCGGCGGCGGCCAGGCAGAGCCGCGTGGGAGAGCAGTACCACGAATGAGCAAGTATGGAACGTCCAAACCAGCCAATCAATACCAGCCCATGAGAATACCAAAGGGGCTGACGTTGGACAATCAGCAAACGGCTGCAAAGAGAAATGCCTGTCACATGTTGATGCAGTCGCCACACCAATGGGGCAGCTGGCGGTGCTGCCGAACCCAGCGGCTAGGCAAAGCGCCGAGATCCAGTGACCTGCGAGGCGCAGTGGGAGAGGGAGAATGGCGGAGCGCTGGCCGCCACGAGTGTGCTGCGATGGGCACGGCAAGAGCGGCCGGCGTGTGAGCGAAGGACATGAGACAAAGATGCGGAGCCACGCCGTCATGGGGGAGCGGCGTGGAGCTGGGATGTGCCAGCTAGTGGGCGGCGGGCGCCGAGATCGACCTTCGAGGCGCGGGGAGGGGGCATGGCAGTGCAAGGAACCACGGCTGCGTTACCGCGGGGGGAGCAGCGAGCGCACAGGCCCACTGGCAGAACTGCCGAGGGGACCGCGTGCTGGCCTGAAAGCCAGGCAAGGGGGGAGGCCGGCAGGCCTGGGTGGGGGCCAGAAGGCCAAACCCACGGTCAAGTCCATTGTCTGCTCCGACTCCACACGGGGGGGCCGCGGTATGCGCCGAGTCCCCCCCCCCCTACTCTGCACACACAGACACAGACACAGACACAGACACAGACACAGACACAGACACAGACACACTCAACGTGTCGATCGAACTCCGAGGCGGCAGCCCCTCCACGAGAGGACCGCGACTTGAAGCGCACACCGATGCCACGGACAGAAGGGCACGATCACGCCAAAACTTCTCACAACACAAACAGAGAGGGAGAGCGAGAGAGAAAGAGAGAGTGAGAGTGAGAGAGAGAGAGTGAGAGTAAGAGTGAGAGTGAGAGAGAAAGGGTGAGAGAGAGAGAGAGTGAGAGAGAGAGAAGTTCCAAAGCGCTTCGAGTACAGCCGATAAGCTCGACAGAAAGAACCGAACAGAATTGGCTCCCAGAGAGGCGCAGGCGCTGACGGAAACAAGCGGAATGGCATCGTGCGCGCGCGCTGATGCACACACTAATGTGATTTGGGCGTGGCTCGAATTCATGCGCACACGTTCTGTGCAGGGGTTTCTGGGTTCGTTGTTGTGCCCAAGGTGCGCGTCCTCCACCCATCGCCGTGCATGGTATCTGCTGCGTGAGCTACCTCCTCTCATGTCGAACTTAACTACAATGCTGGCACGGCAGTGTACAGCATATGCTACAGCTTTGAAAAAATTGAGCACGAAGGCGTACGAGCAAGTCGCCCACAACGGCGCCCCTTGCGGACTCATGCCGACCTCCATGTGTTGGGCTTACCCTGCTCGGTGCTGATGGCGTCACCAGTGACCTTGTTGCTACGCGCCGCACCCATCCACTGAATCGGCGGCACAAAGCAATAGCAGCTGACCGCCGATATCAGAAATCAGAACAGATGCACCGTGATATCAAACACGATATAGAGCCAATGGCTGCATAGAAACCTACTGAAAACGTACCACTGATATACAGTATAGTGCCTCGAACCGCACTTGCAAGAAAACTGGGGACATCTACGCACGGGGCGCTGCTAAGCCCGTTGCCTCCCACACTTTCTCCTCCACAACCTCTCCCGAGAGCATCGTCGTCTTGATCACCTTCTGCTTCGTGGGCCCCTGCTGGGTGAACTCCTTCCAGCCGGGGCCACCAAGGAAGGCCGAGGCAATGCCTCACACATTGCTGCAGCCGACGGCCGAGACAGGAGCGCACACCCACCAAGAGCGACAGCTGCCCTGCCTCCAGGCAGAGCTCTGCTCGACGCGCCGGGCGTCGAAGCGGACGTCTGCGAGCGCCGACTTCGACCACGGCGGCTGGACATTGCGGCACGTGGCGACGCCTCGAGCTCCGTTGCAGCAAGCTGGCGACTAATTGCCATCCAGGGCGGTCGAAGTTGCCGTTGCCCCGAGAGGTGCGAGAGACCTCGAGGACAGCGATCACGCGCGATATGATGAGTTTTCTCCTCGTCCAGGGGCTGTTCTGACCATAATTTCGGAACGAATCCAGCAGTAGTGACGAGAACCAGTATCAAAAAAGATAACGATGCGAAAGGTAGCGGTATCGGCACCTTTTCCTCCTCTGGTTCCTCCCCTCCTGCCTCCATCCCGCCCTCCTCCTCATCCACCTTCTCTTCTCTTCCTCCTCCTCCTCCTCCTCCATTTCCTCCTCCTCCTCCACTCGACACGGAACCAGGCCCTCAGTCAAGAGACGGCCTGCCTTTCCCGATGCGCACGGGGGAAAAGAGGCTTCTGCTGTGTGGGGCCCAAGCAGAAGGCGTCCTCCGCCTTCGCCACGTCCTTGGCGGCACACGCCGGCTCTCCCCCCTCACTGCCTTCTCTCCTGCTCCCCCCAAGAGGAGGAGGAGGATACTGAAGAGGAAAAGGAGGAGGAAGAGAAAGAGGAGGAGAAAGGGCAGGAGGAGGAGGAGGAGGAGGAAGAAACGGGGCACGACGAGCAGGATCGAGGAGGCAGGGGCAGGAGGAGCGACCGACTCGAAGAGTTTGACCACTTGGATCGAGGCGCGGCTGCGCGCGCCCGCGGCCACGGGCGGCGACCGCCTCGTCGCCGTTCGTGGGCGGGCCAGCCTCAGCGCCCTGGAGCCCCGCCAGGCGAACGCTGCCCCGGTCGAAGTGGCGCTCGTTTGTCACGTGGCCCGTGAGGGAATCCTATGGACTTCGGCGGGAACCCGATGGATTTCCTATGGCGTCCTATGGATGTCCTCAGGAATCCGATGGATGTCCTAAAGGATCCTATGGATTTCCGAAGGAATCCTATAATTCTTCCGGGATCCAATCGATTTCTGCAGGAATCCGATGGATTTCCAAGAAGGTGGCCGCCGAGGGCGGGCTCGCTCGAGGAGCTCTGCTTTGCTCGAGATGAACTTGCCGACGCACTGGAACGGGAGCCCGCGGCGACCAGGCCCCCCAGCAGTGCACAGTGAACTCCTCGTCGCAGTCGGCGCCAGGGGCAGGCATCATGCTGCTCATGTCCGGCACGGAGTCTGGATCCCCTGCTCCCCTCCCCCTGCGGGCCCTGGGGCGGCGCGCGGCAGGGCCTACATGCATCTCTTCGCCACGACGCCCGGGAGCGAGGTGGATCCGCGGGCGTCATCTACGGAACCGCTTGCACCTCCCTCGCGCAGTCGAGCATCACGCAAAGCGAGCTCATCAGGAGGAGGGGAAGCCGATTCGTCCACCAGCATCTTCCGTTTGCTCCCGCCCATGATCCATATCTCTGCGCCTGGCTCCTCAACCATGGCTTCAAGTTGAAGCAAGGACGCGTGCTCCTCACTAGAAGACGCACGACGGTAACGCACCGCTTCAGCCAATGCCAGTGCGAGTCAAGGCATGTACTTGTTTGAGTAGTGGAGCTGTGGGATCCACTGCGCGGCGAACTCCAAGGTGACCCCTTGCAGGAGGGTGCAGCCAACGCAGTCAGGATGCACTGCGCTCAGAACAGCTTGCCAAATCTTCCAGGGGACACGACACTTATCGCCCGTTCTTTCGCCGCTCGCGACGAACTCTACCAACGTAGAGAAGAGCACCCGCTTGACCGCGGCGCGATGGCAAGCGCCGACGCGACGGGGCGGAGCACATGCCAAACCGCCCGCCAAAACTTGGATATGGCGGCTGAGCCTGGGGCAGCTGCTGCTGCTGTCGGAGCTCGGGTCCGCGTCGGGATCTGCGCCAAGGTTCTGCGCCCCAGCGTCCACGGCAAGGATGGGCGGCGGAACGCTAGGCCACCGCGCGGGGCCGCCATGGCCCCCTGGACATAAGGCGGGGAGAGGGAGCCTAAATGAATTCGGCGAGCTCCCGGCCCGCGCGTGGCCCGGTCGTCGACGGCCCGCGAGACCTCGCCCTCCGCCGCGAGTACCACTGCTCGGCGAGACCCTCCAGGCGATCGATGGCGATTGGGTGCCAACCAGGCTTCTGGCGCGCCAGGTTTACGAAGCTCCCGGGGGGGCGGTTGGCCCATTGCCCGCGCCGCAGGGGGGGGGGCCGCCGACGGCCCCCCCCCGCGCGCTGCCAACGGCCGCGCGAAGAGCACCACCACCGCCTTCAGCGGCACTTCCATCAAAACATCATCGCCCGCGCGATCTGAAACTTCCCGAGAATCTCGAGGCGCGTAGTTTACCCCACCGTCGCAGGGCCGAGGTCGGGGAAAGAAGGCCCAAGGCCACCCTCGTCGGCACCATTGCCATGTTGGGCTTACTGGACTAGAGGAAAAGGTTGAGCATGACGCGAAGATGGCGGCCGCGAGCCCGCACGCGGAGTTCGACGGCGAGCTGGGCGAGGAGGAGCCAGCGTCGAAAGCATCGGCTGAACCACTGTGACCGGGCAAGGCCAGGCGGGGGGGGGAGGGACCTCGCTGCGCAGCGAGGCCAGGAGGCAAAAGATTCGGGCCATCTTCGGGATGGTGCTCGTGAGCCATTAGATGCCCATTGGGGGCGGGGCGAAGGAGGGGCATCTGAGAAGCTGGCTCCACCGCAGCAGCGCGCCGCCACAACGCGACAACTGCGTCGCCCTGAGCCCCGGCCGTCGCGGCGTCGAGCCCTCCGCGCGGCGGCTCGTCCGCGCGCGCGACCTCGCCCCCCTCTTTATCGCCCAGGTGGCATTGCGCGTTGCGCGTGAGGTCGCGCTTCCCGGCTGCGCCCGCGCCTTCCTGAGCCGTCGGGCCCGCGGCCAGGCCCGGCCCGCAAGGGGTGGCTGCCAGGGGGCCGGGCGCTTCGTCATCGCCGGGAAGGTGGCGCCTAAGCCAATCGCGAGGTCTGGGCCCGCCAACGCGGTAGTCGCACGCTTCCCCAGTCATGATCTCGCCCTCGACGGGCTGGCGGGGGCGACTGTCTTCCTCGACTCGATGCTCCCGCGTTCTATCGTCTGCTTTGTTTTGTTATATTCGTTATTTGTTTCATTTATCTTGCGCGTTCTTAATTTGATTTGTTCTGCTGTTCGCGTTATTCTGATTGCGTTGCTACGTCTGGTTGATTGAATTGTCCGATTCGGCCGCGGGGGGGGGGCCCTCTTGTTGCGCCGCGCGCGCGGATTCTACGCGCAACCCGTGCAATCGAAATCCAATTATCAATCGCCTTAAAACAAATCCTTTTGCAAAACTGGACAGCAGAATTCTACTTGCAACCCGAACAATAAGAGTCAAGTTGCAAGCCGCCCACAAATTGAACCCTATCCTAGAATCGCACAGAAAGGATTCCACTTGCAACCCGTAAAACAGGGATCAACTTAAATCGCTGTCTAAAGGCCCCTCCTTGACAGGCGGCCAGAAAAAAAAACCCTGGCAGGCGGCCGCCCCCCAAAAATGCACCCCTCAATTTGCGAACCGCCCGCAAAAAAACAATCCCACTGTAAACCCGCGCGCGAAGATTTCGCGCGCCACCCTCGCAGCGGCGATCAACTTGCAATCGCCGACAAAAGAGTTCCCTTTGAAAGGGGGCCGGGGGACGTCCCGGAGGAGGGCGAGCCAGCGAATGCCCCCCTGCCCCCCGCCGCTTGCAGGGGGCCCGAACAGAGCCCCCAAACGCCCCCAATAACCTCCCAGGAATCGGACAAGCCTCGTGGAATGCAATCCTGGACGCGCAGTAGTTAGTAGAGGGGTCGGCGGATGTAGCGTAAGCCCATAGAACCCGCGTCCGGATGTGACGTGCTGAGCGGCAGCGTTTTCCGCGGATGCTGTAATGCAGCGTATCCATTTCATCCCATAATTGTAGACTTGCCACATATTGTCTAATGTTACATCACTATGTCTCCCCCCTGCCCCCCCCCCAGGGGCTGCGCCGCATCCGTCGACCCAACCTGGCGGCCCCCTTTCGTGGCCCCAAAACCTCCCAAAACCAATTTAATATATAATTTGGGCTTCTTGGTCTTCTAGGGGGGCCACGAGGGCGCCCGGGCGCAAGGGTCTCCGAAGGGGCCAGGCAGCGCAAGAGCGCCCCTAAGACGCCCGCGCGGGGCTCCGAGAAGCCCCCGACAGGCCTCCCAGATGCCCCCAAGAGGTCTCCCACACGCCCCCGCGAGGACCCAGGAGGCCCCGAAGAGGCCTCCAAGGGGCCCCCAAGAAGTTCCGAGAGGCCCGGCAACGACTGGACTGCATGCGCCCCCGCCCCGGACGCGCACCCCGCGAAGCGAGAGGAATCATCCTGACGGCTCGGTAATTCGAGCCCCTGGAGAAAGGTTTAAACCTTGGGCCTCCGCAGCTCGGAGGTCACGCTTGTCTCTGCCATGCTGAACTCAGCGATCAGCAAATGCGTCAGACGCGCTGCTCTCCTCTCTCAGAAGGGTTTCGTTCCTGGGGGAAATTTTATCGACGGTGCCGTCGAGCTGGGCGCCATGGCGAAGGCGGCTGCCTTCCGTCCTGGAGGCACTCTGACCCGCCCCATCCTCGCGGGCTTGGACATCGGCCAGGCATTTCCAAACCTTTCGCCGAAATGCCTTCTCCTCGCCTCGGAGACGCCGGAGGCCCCGGCGGCCTTGCTTCGCGCGGCGCAGAGCCTCCGTCCGCGCATCGCCCCTGCGTTCGCCAGCGCAGCGCGCGCCCCTCACCTTTTCGACGGCCCGTCCCGAGCGGGGGCAAAGGGCTGTCTCGAGATGCGGTAGGAAGGCTCAGCATCGAAGGGGACATCCGTGAAGAGGGGGGCCCAACATCCGCAGATCGCCCGCAGTTGGTCCTGCTGGCTAAAGTGCACCTGCTTCTCCTCGCGATAAGCTCGCGATAAGCTCGAAGCACCGTTCCCCTGCCGAAGGGGGCCCGGATCTGCGCCCTCCTCTCCGTCGCAACAATCTTGGCTCCGTGGCTTTTCTTCCGCTTGGCTTTGGTCGGGTCCATTTGCATGGATGAAGTGTCTTTCTCGGCAGCGTGAACATGATTCCGCCCTGCTGCGCTTCGAAAGAGCGCGTCGCCAGGAATGCGCGCCTGCGCATCCGCCACTTCCAAACGGGGGGCGCCTTCATACCGGCCAGAGATGAAGCGCGAATCCAGCCTGGCGTCGTTCCCCTAGACCTCTCGAGCTGCTTGCCTGACAAGCTCCGAGTGAGACTGGATGGCATCTGCACCAACCGCGAGCGCGGCCTCGAGGGCAATCCCGCCGGCCTCGGTGGTGGCTCCTGGAGGCGGCGAAGTCGAAGGCGACGCGAATGCGCGCGCAACTCCTCGCTCTCGTGAAACGCCAGCTTCTCTTGCGCCGCTGGGGGATCTGGCCTTTTGAGCGCCGCGGCCGGGAACGCCGGCTCGCCTCTCGGTCGCTGGCTCCGCTCCTGAATGGCAACCGTCAGCGCCGCTATCCATT